GGTGGTGTCGTCCTCCATGGAGTCGAGGAAAGCTAATTCTGTAGGAGTGGAGGGATGACTGTAGGGGTAGGTATGTTCATCAAAGACGACATGACGATAGACAATGACTTTGTGAGTTTGGAGATCAAGGCACCGATAACCGCGTTGGTTAGATGGATACCCAAGGAAAACACACCGAATCGAGCGAGGCGCTAGTTTATGGGGAGCAGTAGCGGAGATGTTTGGATAGCAGAGGCAACCGAATACTCGAAGGTGGGAGTAAGTGGGGGGTGGCCAAAAAAGACTTCGTGAGGAGTGCGGAAGTTAAGGCCAGGGTGGTGGTGGGCAAAATATTGAAAAGGTGTGTAGCCATGGATAGGGCCTCGACCCAGAACTTAGGAAGGAGGTTAGCTTGGAAAAGAAGACAGCGGATAGTGTTGTTTATGGTGCGAATGGTGCGTTCAGCACGACCATTTTGTTGGCTAGTATGGGGGCAAGAAAAGCGAAAAGTGATGCCAAGGCTTTCGGAGATAGTTTAGAGAGGGGTGTTTCGGTATTCGGTGCCATTGTCACACTGAACAACTTTAATTGTGGTGTTGAACTGATTTTTCACATAAGCAATAAAAGTCTTAAGATGAGAAAACACATCAGATTTATGTCTCAAGGGAAAAATCCATAAATAGTGAGAAAAATCATCCAACAATAACATATAATGCTTAAAGCCTGTAACACTGAGAACGGGGATTGCCACAGATCAGTATGTAGAAGTTGAAATGGAAAAATAGAAATACGACTCGATGACATAAATGGGAGGCGAACGTGCTTTCCCAATTGACAAGCATGACACAGAGAATTCTGAAATTGTTTATTAAGACACTGAGATAAACTAGGGACTCCACGAAGGACGGTATGGCTTGGGTGGCCAAGGCACCGGTGCTAGAGTTCGGGATCAGTAGTGGCAACATGGACTTGGGCCTTGGTAGCTTGTGGGCTCATGGGGTAGAGTGGGCCGGCATCATTGGACCGATGAATCACACACCCTGTCTGCATATCCTTCATAGAAAAACGAGTTACGTCAAATTCAACGGTATAATTAATGTCATGGGTGAATTGTCTAATAGATATAAGGTTATGGATAATGTGCGGGGATATAAGAATATTATGTAGGGACAGGGTAGGGGAGGTGTGAAAGTGATAATTACCGGTGGCCGTAGTACAAACTTTAGAACAATTACCAACAGTGATGTATGATGATGAATTTAAAGAATGAGAACGAACATGAGAAAGTGTACCTTGGTCAGAAGCAATGTGGTGAGATGCTCCAGTGTCCATGTACAAGGTGGGGTCACGGAGGCTGAGGGTGTCAAAGTTGTGTGCTAGGGCAATGGGTGTGGAGGGTGGGGGGGGGGGGGGGT